CACACACACAGACTTAGCAGGCGGGAACTCAGTCGGGCATTCAGTCTATGAGCAAAACTCATAAATCAGCTGTGTGTTTCAGTCCATGTTTGGACGGGTTATCACACTACCCCCCCCTCAAGAGCGAGGTCCCCTCGAGCGAGTAACTCATCCTGAGTCCTCGGCAAATGCATTGTAGGCGAGCAAGGCAAAGAGATTACTGGAATACTCTGTCGAAGTGAGCCTTGCTGAGGTCTTTGGTGCGGCGTTAGCAGCTATTTGGCGCTCGTAGGCTTTAACAACGCGCGGTGCGCTGCGTAGCAGTTCCTGTTTGGAGATCCAGTCCAGATCGTCTAACGGGTGATACATAAAATGAACCTGGTACTGTCTGTTTCTCCCCTTACCTACATGCTGTTTGATTCTATCTATCTCATGCCCGCCCTTGATTGCGCGAGGGATCATATGTTCGCGGTAGTTGAATGTCTTGGCATCACGGTGGAGATACAATTTAGATGCATGGAACACGGGATATGTGCGCAGGTGAGCTGGCACGTCTACAACGTACGAAGGGCCAAAGTCATCTTCACCAATCACATCCAAAATTCCCAGGGCCCATAATAGAGAGGGAGGAGTTTGCGTGATCATGGCGTGTTGTCGCTTGGTCATAGCTGCAATGGCAACTTTGAGCAAGCGATCATACTTGGCCCTGAAGCCAGGCCTGCCAGGTGTTAAACCAACTGGCTGCTCAAGGAATAGGTAAGAGAGCGGATTTCGGATTTGCCAACCGTAATGCAACCTGTTGGGTGTCATGCCGGTGGCGGAGTGGACGGAGTTGTTGTATAACCCCTTAACGGAATACAATTCTTCATCCCATGTTTCCTGATCCGGGATAATCAAAGCGCGAAGTAGTTGGAACACAGTCAGGTTGATCTCCTCAGCCAAACCGTTGGCTTCGGGGTGTTGGCCAGATGTCATACACAGTTTGATCCCCAGTTGAGACGTGAAATCCTTCCACTCAGTACTAATGAAGCGCGGATCCCGATCGCTCACAAGAGTCTTCGGGGTTCCGAACTGCAGAATGTACTTCTGTTGGAATTCACGAATCACTAGTTTTGTTGGGGCATGAGGTGGCAAAGGGATCAGATTGAGGAACTTAGAGAATCAGTCAACAATCACCATGACCTGTGAGTAGCCGTTCGTACTTACCTTTCCCATGTCGGTGAAGTCGATGGAGACAGACTCCCCGGGACCATCGGGAATGGGTAGGGGTGTGAGTAGCCCCATCGACTTTTGTCTGCATGGTTTGATTCGTTGACAGACTTGACATTCAGCCACAAACTTTTCAGCAGTCCCTTTCATGCCAGGCCAATCAAACTGTCTCAACAAATTTGCGTACGTTTTTGCCATGCCGAAGTGTCTGCTCCGGCCATGAGCCACATCCAAAAAGTGCGTGCGGAGAGGCTCATGGTTGGGCACACACAAACAGTCGTGGTTCCCGTAGTGACGAAAAATCAGTCCTCCATACTCGTGGAAATCAGGCTGACTACTCGGGTCAGCCCGCAGCCGCTCAAGGATGGAACTAAGTTCCGGATCCTTAGCTGTCTGCTCTACGAGCTCCTCCTTTAGTTTCTTCCGGAGGTCGTAGGATTTCACAAGGCAAGTCATGTACTCAGGGTGGCGAGACAATGCGTCAGCGACTCGATTATAACAACCCTTTTTGTGTCTTAATTCAAAATCGAAGATGTCAATCTCATGGAACCAGCGAAGCAAGGTAGGGGACAGGGTAGTTTGCTGTTTGATCCACTTCAAGGTCGCATGATCTGAGAAGACTTTGAAGTGGCGCCCCAAAAAAAAATGTTTCCAGTGATCCAACGCCATACGCAAAGCATAGAGTTCGCGCATGTAGGTGGAACTGGCTACCTTTACGTTGGGCATCCGTTTGTTGTAGTACTCGAGTGGCCGCAAGCCATCGCCATCATCTCGTTGCAACACTACACCGATTCCATACTGACTTGCATCCGTAGTAACTACGAATGTCAGTTTGGGATCTGCAATGCGGAGTACTGGGTAACTTACCAAGGCTTCCTTGAGAGCTTGAAAAGCTTCTGTACACGCGACATCCCAGGAATAAGGCACATTTTTATTGGTTAGTTGCGACAATGGACGAGCAATGATAGAAAAACGGGGTACAAACTTTCGATAATACGACGCGAGACTAAGGAAAGAACGCAATTCGCGAATGTTAGCAGGCTGAGGTCAATCGCGTATGACCTCAATCTTGGTTGCCTCAGGCTCTAGGCCTGCAACAGACAACCGATGCCCAAGATAAATGATGCTATCCTTCCCAAACTCGGATGTCTCAAAGTTGAGGTGAAGTTGCGTCTTCTTGAGGATAGCGAGCACCTCCTCAAGATGCTTGAGGTGCTCCTCCATGGACTTGCTGAAGATCAGAATATCATCCAGGTACACTACCACAAACCGGCCAATCTGTTCGCGGAGGACCTTGTCCATGAGGCTTTGGAAAGTGGCTGGTGCGTTCGTGAGACCGAGGGGCATTACGGTGAACTCATAAAACCCGCCGCGTGTTTTGAACGCAGTCTTGTGCTGGTCCGCAGGATCGACTTCAATCTGGTGGTAGCCAGACTTGAGATCGATCTTGGAGAAGACCTTGCACCCACCTGCAGCATCAAGCAAATCGTCTATGCGGGGTAATGGAGGCGTTCTTTCTTGTGATGCGGTTTAGACCGCGATAGTCAATACACATGCGGAGTTTGCCTCCTTTCTTTGGGACAAACAACACAGGAGCACCAAATTCAGATTCACTAGGTTTGATCCACCCTTTGTCAATCATCTCATCGATCTGTTGCCGGAGTTCCTCCAACTCACCGGGTCCCATACGGTACACGCAGCCCTTTGGAGGGATAGCACCTTCGACCAACTCGATGGTGTGTTGGACCGGTCGCGTGGGGACTCCACGTGGCTCGGCCAGAACTTCCGGAAACCGATCGAGGAGGGTTCGGATGTCTGGTGGGACAGGTGGGGGTGGGGGATCAGCAAAGGGATCACCAAGATCCGGTCGCAAGTCGCGTATAGAGACGACCGAATCTGGAGTAGGATCATTTGGACTATTAGAGGGTAGAGAGATAGAGGTGCTAGAAGTAGAAGTACCAGAAGTAGGATCATCAATCAAAGTAGTAGTGATATTAGCCGCAAAAGTAGATGGCACATGGGTAGGACGAACAAAGGCAACATACAACTGTTCTTCCTCCTTGTGCTTGCGCCATTTCTTACAGAACTGCATAGCATTCAGAAAAGTCATTGGGGATTCGCGCTTCTCATCCAAGAGGACAGGAAGCTCGTTCCCCTGAGCATCTTTGACCATGAAGAGTGACTCCTTCCACTTGGTCCATTCGCATTGGGACTGCAGCCAGCCCAAGCCAAGGACAGCATCGAAGGGGCACTTGTCAAGGACAAAGAAGTTCAATGCGTGGGTGACAGTCTTGCCTTTGTCAAACTTAGTGCGCACACCTTTGACTGCATGTGTTGAAGAGACAACTTCCTTGTTGCCAACTTGGGTCCGGCAAGGGTTCTGCAGGGCCACTTGCTTCATCCCCAAACCCACCTTGCGTATCCCATGTGGTGACATGAAGTTAGTTGTAGCGCCACAGTCAACCAACACACTGAGATAGCGGTGGTTTATGAGAAGTTTAAAGAAGAGCAACTTCACTGTCCCTTGGGCACACTGCTGTTTCATCTCAGCCCAATGCTCCAAGTGGTAGTGGAAGTCAACCATTTCAGACTCCTCCCAAGGCTCGACATACAAGACATTACTTACCTCAGCCTTGTCTTCAACAGATGGTTGGGCTTCAAGGGAGGGCTGCTGATTTTCAACAGAACCGGACTCCCCTGCTGTAGAGTTTGCTGAAACTGACTCTACGCCCGATTATGGTTTCCCTGCAGCCTATAACAGTCCTGAACCTTATGATTTGGTTTTTGGCAATGTAGGCAAACCCCTTTCTTGAGTCTGCCCCGCCAGTCATTCTCAGTGATCCGGAGGTCAACCCAAGGTTTGGTAGTCGCATCCTCCGGTTTAGGCGGGATCTTGATTCCCTTGGGAAGTTGGACATAATTTTTCCCGACACTCCGATTCGGTTCCTTGGTACTGGCAGTCTTTTTGAAGGCAATTTTTTTTTCTTCTTCTTTATTTGCATCGGACTCATGGGCTGAAGAACAAGCTGTATCGGAGTCCTATTCTTGGTCGTCGCCAAGAGTGGGGTCATCCGCATCGGCTTCTTCTTCGGCCTCCAGCAGGTCATGCGCAGCAAAACGGCTGCTGCCATTGAACCGTCTGCCGCCCATGGGCTTTTTGCTGCCTGTCGTGCTAACGAGGTCTACAGCCTCCAAACTGACTATGTCCTTCATTAAGGTGAGCCAGTCAGTGTGTGCAATGTAGTCCCTGCCCAGGCGATTAGTGAAGTTAGTTGGAACCGCGCCCTTAAATATATCTAAGCAAGACTGAGTAGTCAATTCCAAACTAGGAGTAGCGAACAACTTGCTAAGATAGGTTTGCAGGCTTTTCATGGAGCCTGTCCACTTGCCGCGCTTGACTTTGTCAAGCTGGTTTCTGGCCCTCGCTGCAGCATGTGGATCTTGGTATTGGTTCCTCGAGTGAGGCAAGCGGAGTGGCCCTAAGCCATTTTGCTAGTGCAGTCTTCGGGACCCCAGCTCGCGTTGCTTGGAATTCCAAGAAACCCCGCACGACCGACTCGACATTCATTCCCATGATCACAGCCTGGGTCTCAGGTTGAGTCCCCAGAATCTCAAAGTAGGCCCTCATGGAGCCGATCCAGGACTCAATGTCTTCCTTGCCGTCGTACTTAGACGGCATTTGTACCGCCTTTCGGTCCTCATAGGGACCGGCATAGCTGGGACCAGCAACAACTGGTTTCGATCTTGGGGCTGTAGAAGTTGCAGAAGTTCCAGCCTCATTGCTTGTTACAACAACAACGGAATCTGCACCTGTCGCAAGTCCCGAGGGGGTTGCCAACACATCCGAGGAAGAAAATACAGTAAGAGGGGCAGAGGTAGTTTCGATTGCAGCTTCAGATCCAGGGGGTAGAGGAAGAGGGTTGGCCACTTGGGCTTGTCGCAGGTCAGCCACCTCCTTTGCCAATTCATGGTACTTGCAGGTCATATCAGTCAGATCATCTTGAAGTGTCTGCAGCTTCGCAAAGACTTCAGCGATCTGAGTGGTATGATCCTCAAGGTTCCTAATTTGAACAAGGGTTGTAAGTATGGACAACAACTGTTCCCCACACTGCTCTTCAGTCAGTGAGGGAACAGTCTCTAGGAGGGTCACTTACCTTTTCAGCAAGGTCTCCTTCATCTCCTTCTCTGTCTCCTGTTCCCTTTTGATTGCACTTTCTAAAAGTGCTTGCAGATAAGGTTTCTCAACATCACTGGCTGCATCTAACAAGGCCCGCCATTGCACTGAAGTTAGCTGAGCCATTTTCAGACTGTCAGGATGGACAGGTGGGTCAGACAGCCGCCAGTCAGCAAAAGAATCAATTAGACTCTCAAGAGGTTCACTCCCCCTCTCGCTTGGATGAACACTCCTTTTCCTGGTCCTTGCCCACTTCAGACGATCACTTTCCCTCTCTCCCTGTTCWCTCTCCCTCCTCTCTCTCTCTTCTTTCAGATTGCGAGTCTCCACGGGCATCGGAAATGAACTCAGAGAAACAGATTGAAAAGCTCAAAGAAGAGAAGGTAGAACTCCTAGCCGGAGCGACATTTCCTTTGGAAGTAGAGAACAACAAAATCAAAAGAAACAATCAAACTCAAGGAGAGGTCTGAGCTAGCGACGTAGTCTGATGAGACTGCATACGAGGTCCTCTCGAGTCCAGTCTGACCAGCTCCGTGACCGTACAACAAATCAGACAACGAGGAACTAAATGCAACAATGGAGAATTGAGTGGTGTACAGGGTGTGAGTCAAGCCACAGACAGTGCAATCAGAAGACATGCGAAACGTCTCAACCAAGATCCCCTCGGCAATGGGTGTCATAATCCAAGAAGAATGAACTCGTATCCCAGCCAAGAAGACAAGAGGTCAATGCCTAACCGATTTGGGTCCAGAGGCTCTTCTTGTTTGGGCCCGGTCCCGCTGGGCCCTAGGGGTCCCACGTAGGTCTCAACCAGGTCCCAACCAAGAGGAGTTCCACATGAAATTAGTTCAGTCTCTACTGCACTGAAAAATGAAATTTCAACTTCTGGCAGAAACCTACAGACTACAACCGTTCAGAGATGAAAAGACAAAGCACTGTAGAAAGACTCGGCATTTAGATCAAGATACTTCATTTTTCATCCATCAGGTGAGTAGGTAGATCACATGCATTCAGTCACACAATCAAGACCACAGAGGAGTAGGAAAAGAAACCCAGAGTAACCCAGCAGGACAATCAATACCATACACACATACATGGGCATCCCGTAGGTGCACGACACTTACCTGAGTGGCCTTGAGCTTCGAGATGAAGAGAAGTCACCCCCCTTCTCATGTGGTCCTCCTGACCCCTCTAATGCTACCCCTACACTAGTGTCCTATCTCCTAGGAGGGTCTGGCTTCAACACCAAAGTGCAACGCCGGATCCCCCGTCGATGCTGAAGAACAAAGTAGCAACTTGCAGTCCGTTGATGTAGAGTGGCCGCTGACCCTCAAGCTCGCCTACTTGAGGGCAGCCCTTAAGTTGCCAAGTGTCTCCCTTGAATCAGATTCCAGGTGCAAGTGCCTCTCACTGTCGCCTCTCTCAAATTGCCGCATGAAATCTCCTCGAAGTGTCTCGCCACCCTAATCTCACTCTCAAGCAACCTGGTTAGGTTCTATGTTGACCCCACATGACCTAACCAGGTGGGGGCAGCTTCCCTTAGCTACGCTGCCCCACTTCCCTCAACCAACCAACCCTTGCCCTCAACCACTTTGGTTAGGGTTAGGGTAGCAAAGTCAACTCTCACCAGCAAGTAGAATCCGCTCTGATACCGATGTTATGACCCTGGCCAATTTCGAGATACACATCCACCGGAAAGTACAATGCCATCCAATTGCAGAAAGAAATGAATGAACTTGAGAGGAGAGAGAG